TCTCTCTCTCTCTCTCTCTCTCTCTCTCTCTCTCTCTCTCTCTCTGTCTGTCTCGAAGGGGCTTACTCAAACAGTCACTCCCTGCCTAGCTTGTTTGGTCCCTTACAGGGGGAATCAATGGCTTTGCTTCCACCTCTGTATGTGAAAGGTGGATGGGATGACCAGAGGTACTCCCTTCAGCAGCAGAATACAATGAAGAGACTGAATAGACGCAACTCACCACTAGAGGGGCCACGGCGAAGCTCACCCTGGAGGGGGCTGGGGCTGCAGGGCACTGACTCAGTGGCAGCTTTGCACATGTCCTGGAAATGAAAGGTAGCAGGTTAGCCCAGAACAGGGGAACTAGAGAACTGGGCAGCACCTAGAGGGTCAGAACACAACCGGTGGAGACCTTAAAAGCTTTTTTGCCAGCCAGGCGGTGGTGGTGCACACCTTTAATCCCAAGAAGCAGAGGCAGGCAGATCTCTGTGAGTTTGATGCCAGCATGGTCTATAGAGTTAGTTCCAGGAGAGCCAAAGTCATACAAAGAAACCCTGTCTTAAAAAATAAAAAAGTAAAAAAGGCTGTTCTGTCTGTTCTGCTCTGGTGGGTTCTTGAATCCATTTTTAGTTTTAAGCATGTATGTATATGGTGGACATGAGTACAGGTGTTTGCAGAGGCCACAGGTATGGGATTCCCCAGAAGTTGCACTTATAAGCAGTTGTGAGCTTCTTGACATTAGTGCTAAGAACTGAACTTGGGTTCTCTGGAAGAGCAGCGAGCCATCTCTCCAACTCTATACTATGCTCTGGGCAAAAAGAAAGTACCCTGTGCTGTGGAATGTTTGTTTAACTGAACAAAGATGTGTCACATTTGTTTATGCTGCATTTGCTTAACTATGTGAAGATGTGTTGCTGTTTTATTTTGCCTGCCTAAGGTACCTGATTGACCTAATAAAAAGCTAAATGGCCAAAAGGTAGGCAGCAGAGTGACAGGCAGGGCTGGTGGACAGAGAGAATAAGTAGGAGGAGAAATCTAGGCACAAGAGTAGAGAAGAGAGAACAAGGGAGAAAGAGAGATGCACGGGGCCAGTCAGGGAGGCAGCTATCAGCCAGATATGAAGTAGGACATACAGAATGAAAAACAGGTAAAAAGCCCTGAGGCAAAACACAGATGAAGAGAAACAGGTTAAATTAAGTTCTAAGAGCTGGTGAGACAAGCACAAGATAAGGCGAACATTCGTAACTAACAAGTCTCCATGTCATGATTCAGGAGCTGGTTGGTGGCCCAAAAAAAAGTCAGCTACAACCCTGGGTTGGCTCGATAGCCCAACAGGTAAAGGCACCTGATGTCACCTCAGGACTTGAGTTAATCCTTGGGACTCAAATGATGGAGAGAACCCACTCCAGAGTTGTCTTCTGACTACCAAACATATATGCCCACACATCCATCACATGCACATCTATTCAATGTACATATTTTAATTCTCAATCTAAAATATAAAAAAAAAAAATACAATGTCTTGCTCAATGACTCTCTGACTGAGTTGATGCCTCTTGCTTGAGGAGGTCCTCTTTACAGGAGGCATGGTTGGAGGTCTGTCTCTACAAGTTACTGTGAGGGGCAAGGCATCTGGCAGCCATATCAGCAAGCTCTGGGTTTGACTGAGAGACCTTGCCTCACTGAATAAAGTGAAAAAGAGATTGAGGATAATTCCCTTTATCAACCTCAGGCCTCCACATGCACACATACACATGTGAACATCCACAATCCATATGTGCCCATGTGTATATACCACATACGTGAAAAATGGAAAAAGAAACACAAAATTAAGTTTGCCTCACTGCATATGAAAAACAGAGAGAAAACAAGGCTCAGAGAAGTCAGGCAACATGCACGATGTCACACAGCGAAGAGCTGAACTTTGAACACTATACCTTCCTTTGCGGCCAGGCCTCCTACCAGCCCCACAACAGCCGCCTCCAGCCTCACACTTTCCCCAGGAAGTCAAAGGCACAGAAGAGCACCTACCTGGCGGTGTACCACCTTGGCATGCTTGAGGATGGCAATGATATCACCCACTACAGTCACGCCCAGCTCGTTCATGATTTCCTTATTGAGGTCTAGCAGCATGCTTTTCTGGATCCTACAGGGGAGGACAGTGATGAGGCCCTGCTCAGCAAGCTCCTACCTCCTCCTACCCAGTTTACCCGGTCCCATCAGTCAGTCTCCTCACCGATTATCCACAAACATCACAGCATAATTAACAGCAGGTCCTGGGGGAATGCCGGCTTCCTTGAAGAACTGGATCCACTCAGAAGTGGCTGGGGATCAGACAGGACAGTCATTCATAGCAGACTGCAGCAGCAGTAGTTCCCAGAGACTGAGCTCCTACATGCCAGCCCCACACTGTGGGCGTTCAACTCTCAGTGGAATGAGAACTCCTGACCGCCCGTGAGTCAACAGGCAGTGACTCCCCAAACTGGGATCTGAGAAGCTGGGAACACGCCAGGGCATGATGCTCCCGAGTTCCCAGTCCTTTTCATCTTGTTCTCCTGTAGCTTCACCCTATCCTGGTGCCTTATCCCATTCATCTGGCCTGACAGCTCTCATCACCTGGCCCAATGGGGAGCCCAGGTCAGGGAGTCAGTCTATGGGCCTTAGCAGGGAGCAACCAAGCCTGAGGGAGAGGCTCACATTCATACGTTATCAGGAAGCTTGACTAGTTCAATCCTGGTTCCCCACCCCTACGTGGGGCCAACATACTCAGTTTAGGTAGAGCTGGGGATGGAGCCCAGGGCTTATGCAAGCTAGACAAGCACTCCGCTAACCAAGCTAAATCCCCGCTGCTTCCCTTGAATCCCTCTTTTTAATTTTTATTTCTTTAAAGACTGGGTCTCAGCTGGCATTAGTGGCTCACACCTTAGGAGGCAGAGGCCAGTAGGGCTCTCCCTGTGAGTTCAAGGTCAGCCTGGTCTACAACATCAAGTTCCAAGACAGCCAAGGCTATATAGTGAGACCTTGTCTCAAAAAATGACAGGGTCGGGGCTGGAGAGATGGCTCAAAGGTTAAGCCTTCTTAACTGACTGCTTTTCCAGAGGCCCTGAGTTCAATTCCCAGCAACCACATGGTGGCTCACGGCCATCTGTAATGAGATCTGGTGTCTTCTTCTGACTAGCAAGCATACAGATAGAAAGAACACTGTATACATAATAAATAAATAAATCTTTAAAAAAAATGACAGGGTCTCTTGTGTCTCAGGCTTGCTTTGACCTCATCAGGTAGCAAAGAATGACCTTGAACTCCTGCTCCTCCTGCCTTACTGTGCTGGATCACAAGCGTGCACCACCCACAGAGGCCCGACAGAGCCTGCAAAACCTCTACATCAGGCTCTCACCACCATGCTGTGTATTCTAGAGAAAAGGCAAACATGTGACCAATTGAGCGGTCATAAACCAGTGGCCATTAAGAAATACTTGGGCCACTGGGTGGTCGTGGTTCATGCCTTTAATCCCAGTATTCAGGAGGATCTCTGAGGCAGGTGGATCTCTGAGAGTTCGAGGCCAGCCTAGTGTACAGAGCTAGTTCCAGGAAAGCTAGGGCTGTTACAGAGAAACCCTCACTTGAAAAACCAAAACAGAAAAGAAATATTTGGGTCACAGGTGGTAGTGCGAGCCTTTAATCCCAGCACTCAGGAAGCTGAAGCGGTAGGTTTGAGACAACTCTGGGATAACCGCAAATGATCAGAACTACAGGGTGAGACATTGTCTCCAAAAACAAACTAAAAAAAAAAAAAAATGTAGCCCCTACTCAGAAATGTTACATTGCATAACAGTGTATCTTAGACTCCGGCTAGATGAGGTTGCTACACTTAGTAACCTCAAGAGAAATGGTCAAGAATATACACTGCAGGGCTAGAGAGATGGCTCAGTGGTTAAGAGCACTGACTGTTCTTTCAGAGGACCCGGGTTCAATTCTCAGCACCCACATGGCAGCTCACAACTGTCTGAAAATCCAGTTCCGGGGGATCTGACACCTTCACACCAATGCACATAATAAACCATAAAAAATATTTAAAAAAAAAATCTGGGCATCTATCCCAGAATAAAACAATATCCTTTACATGTATGCCTATCTGCAGTGCCGAGATGATGATGGGACAGGCCATTATGAATGGCAGTTTAAGGGCTCTATTCTAGCTCTGAGAGCCCCTCCTCCTGCCCTCAGTAAACCATAACACTGAGTATACCCCAAGTCCCTCACAGGAAATCCTAGGCGAAGTGCTTTACCACTTCGCTACACCTCAAGCCTAAGCAATATCCCTTGACAGTGGCATTGGTAAACAAACGTGTGAAATACTACACAGCATTAGAAAGGAAAGATACTAGGTATGCTTAGCCCCACAGGTACTCTCAGTTACATGTTATATAAAGGCACACATTATTATATACTGTATGGTTTTGTTTATGTAGACTCCTGGGCCCTGCTAAATGTTTGTCTTTTAGTTGCTTTTAATTCCACACAAATATGTTTTATGAATTTTCCTTTTTTCTTGTTCTTCTTCCCCCGAGACAGGGTTCTCTGTGTAGCCCTGATGGAACTCTCTCTATAGACCAGGCTGGCCTCAAACTCAGCAATCCAACCGTCTCAGCCTCCTGAGTGCTGGGATTAAAGGAATGAGCCACCATTGCCTGGCTATGGATTTTCCTACATGTGCAAGAGATCTCAACATTTTCCTAAGTCACCATGTGATCTCTGTGCCTTGATAATCCCAATAGACGGCCTAAAAAGAGTGGGGGATCTGGGTATGCTGGCACACAGCTCTAACCCAGCACTCGGGAGCTTAAGGCAGGAAGATTGAAAGTGGCCTGGGCCACATACAGAGACTACGTTTCCACCTACCAAAAAACTAAGAGCAAGAGAAGGAAAAAGTAAGCTAACCAGGCTGGTGGTAGCACCTGTGACCCCAGCACTGGAGGAAAAGGCAGAAAGGTGAAGAGGTCAAGGTCATCCTTGGCTCCAGGAGTAGCAGGTTAGCCTGAGTTAGCCTGAGCCTGTATCTCAGGAAAGAGAGTGGAGGGATAATCTGGGGCTGTCTCGCAGCAAGCACAAATAACATCTGTTGAGGAATGCACCCAAGATTTCACATGTGGTAATCTCTCCAATCCAGGTGGCAGAATTACCATCTCTATCTCACAGGTAGAAAAATCGAAGGTCTAGCAAGCCAGGTGGAGCATGGACCAGAGGGCCTTACAAAGTTCTCCAGGTCAAACTCCTAATGCAGCAGGCCCAACTCAGGAAGAACACAGCCAGCCTTGCAGAGGCTTCAGCCCCGCCCCCACCTCAGGAGAGCCCAGCTGCTCCTGCCTGTTTCCAACTCTCCAGCTCCATCTTTCTATACCCAGACCATACCCCCAGAAAGGAGGGCACAAGGGCCCTGCAGGGAAACCAGACTCACCCATAGTCACTGAGACCATCGTCTCCCTGGCCTTGACCCTGCTTCCTGGAGCCTGGAAGACAGAAGGAGAGGTTCCATTTGTCGACCCACAGAGAGCCTCAGGCTCCCGGTGCTGCCGGCCTGCCTGCCAGAGGAACATTCCTGGACTAGGGGCTCACGACCCAAGAATAGCCTGGAGCAGCTGGCAGGACGTCAGCCTGGGACAGAGCTGCCATTGCAGCTATCAGTTCTGCCCGGGAGGAGCTCAAAGATGGTGTCCTAGCTAGGCTTTCCATTGCTGTAATAAACACCAGGAAAAGAAGCAACCTGGAGAGGAAAGGGTTTATTTCATCTTACAGCTTGTAGTCCATCTTAGAGGGAAGTCAGGGCAGAAACTCAAGGCAGGAACCTGGAGGCAGGAGCTGATGCAGAGGCCATAGAGTAGTGCTGCTTACTGGCTTGCTCCCATGGCTTGCTCAGTCAAGTTTTCTTGTAAGACCACAACCACCTGCCCAGGGATGGCACCACCCACACACCACCATGCTGGGCCGTCCCACATCAATCATTAATGAAAAAAATGCACCACACACTTGCCTACAAGCTAATTTTATGGAGGCATTTTCTCAATTGAGATTCCTCCTCCGAGATGAGCCTGGCAGGTTGACATAAAGGTACCAGCACAGAAGGCAAATGTCCAAGCTTCCATTCCTCACACCATGACAGGTCCGGCTGGAATAGTGGCCCCAAATCCCAGCACATAGACCCACTCACAGCTCAAAGAAAACTCCCTAAGTCAGCCACAGTGGCACATACTTGCTACCCACCATTCAGGAAACTGAGGCAGGGGGACGGCCCAGGCTACAAACGAGGCCTTTTCCGTTTGTTTGTTTGGATGTTTACAGTTCTAGCTGTCCTAGAACTCAGACTGAAGAACAGGCTGGACTTGAACTCAGAGATCCCGTCTCTGCACACCCCATATTGCTGGGACTAAATAAATATGCCACCACATCCAGTGTGAGGCTCTTTCTCAAACATTAAGACAGAAACTAGGCAGGGTAGAGTGTCTGAAATCCCAGCATTCAGAAGACTTGAGACAGGAGGTTAATGAGTTCGAGGCCAGCCTAGAATACATAAGACTCTGCATCAAACATAAAACAAAAGATTTAGTTGATATGTAGCTCACAGACTAGCATATGCAAGGCCTAGCATATGCAAGGCTGGGTCTGGTCCTCAGCAAAATAAATAAACAAACAAACAGGTTTCCCAAGAACCTTCAATGTGGAAGATACTTCATCCTGAGGAGGACAAAACCAGGGAGCCCAGTTGGGAGCTGAGAAGCAGGGGACAGACAGCACAGAAAACAGCTAGAAAGGCAGTGGATGGCCGGAGAAGGGTGGGGGCTGTTCCAAGAGGCTCATCTGCCAAGACTGAGGTGTCATGTAGAGACCTGGGGGAGGGTCAGTGAGTGTGTGGTTCTTTTAGAGGAAGAGTGTTCCAGAAAAGGGGACATTGAGTCTAGTGCCCTAAGCCAGAAGCTCCTCCAGTGTGCCTAAGAGCCAGAACGGAAGGAGATGGAGTGGGAGGGCTCCAAAGGAATGGAAAACCAATTTTCACTGAGATGAGCAATTGTTTAAAGGGGGTTGAAGAGCTTTGGAGGCCAGCCCAAGCTACATAGCATGTTCAAGGCTAGCCTGGGTTGTATAGCAAGACCAGTCTCAATAGGTAGGTGGGGCTACAGGAGTAATTCATTGGGTGAGTACTTGCCAGAACATATGAGCTCTGGGCTCAGTCACCAGCACCATACACACCAGGTTCACACACCTGCAGTCTCAGCACTTGGGATCAGAAGTTCAAGGCTAGCCTTCCTATACAGCAAGTTCTGGATCTGACACCAATAACAGTATAAGAAACAGCTCTGAGAAAGTCAGGACATATCACATACCAAGCACCAAGTAGCCACCAGGTCAGAGCACCACAAAAATGCCTTCCAACAGCCTCACAGGGAAAGACTATTATTAGTTCTGCTCTCATCAATTAAAAAACACACCTGACTCAGCAAGGAACAGTCATTTGCCAAGTGTCACGTGTACTCTGACCTTTCTGAGATTCCGAAGCGAGTTCTCTCTGATTCCGAAGCCCATGGAGCAGGTCCTCGCGAGTGTTTACTCTGTGCCAGGAACTGAGAATGTGCATATCTCAATGGTTCTGCATGGTGAGCCTGGGAGGAAGAAAAATGAGCAAAAAGAGGAAATAAAGTTAAAGACAGAGAGCATGGTAAGCCCAAGAAAACACAGCAGGTTCGCAGCAGGGCCAGGACCTGAACTTAGGTCAGTCCATTGACCAAGGGACTACTGCTACACAGCAGGCATAACCAGCCTTTCCTTGGAAAGCCTCTCTTAATCCTAAACCAGAACTCCCTAGGGCAGTGAAGTCACTGTCAACTCAATTTCAGCTCCCTAACACCATTTTGCCTGTTTTAGTTTGGTGAAACTGGGTTTCCTGAATTAGTCAAACTGGCCATGAATTCATCATCTTTCTACCTCTACCTTCCAAGCATGGAGCTTCTTCTCCCTACTATCTTAAAAATCCATTTCCAGGGGCCAGAGAGATGGCTCAGGAGTTAACACATCTCCTTGCTTTGGTTTGGTTCCCACAACCACCTATAACTTGAGTCCCAGGGGATCCAACAGCCTGGGTTCCCAGCACATCAGGCATGTGTATGGTGCAAACATGCACAAGCAGGTAAAAACACATATACAGAAAAATAAATGAATCCTCTTTTTAAAAAGTTCTTCTCCCCACCTGGGGAGGTGGCTCAGTGAATCTTGTGCATGAAGATTTGAGTTCAAATCCCCACCACCTACTTCTTATAAAGCCAAGCATGGAGGAGGGGAAAACAGGAGGATCCCTGGAGCTCAGTGGCCAGCCTGTCTGCCCAAATGCATGAGCTGCACATTAAATGAGAGACCCTAACTCATAAGGTAAAAGAAGGACTGGGTTGGCATTCACAGACTAATATTTTAGAAGTTCATCTCTTTCTGAATTGTGAAAACTGACAAAATTAACATGTTTAAAACTCAAGGAATTACCATTTACAAGAGTCCTGATGCTTTTTTGTCCTTGGGAGACCTGAATCAAAAGCATGGTATTAGAGGCTGCGGTAGAAGCTCCAAGAATTTGAGGACAGCCAAGGCTAAATACCAAGGCCCTGCCTCAAAGAAACCAAGAGGAGTGGGAGAGTAAAGGGAGGGGGCGGGGAGCTTAGACCCAAGGTCTGGTTTTGCTATACTTTTCTGGGACTCACCTCTCAGAGCCAACTAAATGATCCTATTGCTACCCATCACGCCAGCAGGCAGCTGTAATCCCAAAACCCAGAAACTGAGGCTAAAATTTTGAGTTCCAGGCCAGGTGTGCTACACAAAGAGACCCTACCTCAAAAAGTCCCAGGGCTGGGAAACTGTTCAATGGCGGAGCACATGCATGGCAAGAGCTGGGAAATCGCTGGATGGCGGAGCACGTGCCCAAGCACTTAAAAAAAAAAGATAAAATAATCTACTCAAGGGGGCCTGCCTCCAACTCAGACAACAGGAGTCCCATCCCGTGCAATGGAGAGAATTGACTCTCAAAGGTTGTCCTAATCTCCACACAAATTCCGTAGTGTCCATGAAGGATGGAAAGTCTTTAAAGGTGCTCTCAGAGACAAGGTAAAGACCACCAGGCCAAGTTTTCCTCTGACCTAACACACACATCCACATAATAAAACCTATCTTTTTAGAAATTTTAAGCCCAGTGGCGGTGGCGCACGCCTTTAATCCAAGCATTTGGAAAGCAGAGGCAGGCAGATCGCTGAGTTTGAGGCCAACCTGGTCTACAGAGCAAGTTCCAGGATAGCCTCCAAAGCTACACAGAGAAACCATCTTGAAAAAACCTAATTAATTAATTAATTAATTAAAAAATTAAAAAGGTGTTGGGGAATAGAATGTGCAAACTCAAAGCTCCTACAACTATGTATGGCACATAGTAAGTATATTAAGTTAAATCTTAACTAAACAAGTGAGTTGTGGACCTAACCCAACGTTAGTCGCATACATACATCATACATAGTGAGATGGGCACCAAGTATGACTATTTATTTATTATTAATTTAGACAGCCGGACATTGTGGTGCATACCTTTAATCCCACCACTTGGGAGGCAGAGGCAGAGGCAGGTGGATCTCTGTGAATTGGAGGCCAGTTTGGTCTACTGAGTTCCAATACAGCCAGGGCTACATAGAAAAACTCAGTCTCATAAATAAATAAATAATCAGGACTGCATAGAAAAACGCGGTCTCTGGGGGCTGGAGAGATGGCTCAGCAGTTAAGAGCATTGCCTGCTCTTCCAAGGTCCTGAGTTCAATTCCTAGCAACCACATGGTGGCTCACAACCATCTGTAATGAGGTCTGGTGCCCTTTTCTGGCCTTCAGGCACACACAGAGACAGAATATTGTATACATAATAAATAAATAAATATTTAAAAAAAAAGAAAGAAAAACGCGGTCTAATAAACAAATAAATAAATAAAGATCAGGACTGCATAGAAAAACTCGGCCTCATAAATAAATAAATCAATCATCAGGGCTGCATAGAAAAACTCGGTCTCGGGGGCTGGTGAGATAGCTCAGTGGTTAAGAGCACTGACTACTCCCCCAGAGGACCGGGGTTCAATTCCCAGCACCCACATGGCAGCTCACAGCTGTCTGTAGCCTCAGTTCAAGAGAATCTGACATCATTATACCAATGCGCATGAATAAAGTTTAAAATAAATAAATATTTAAATAAATAAGTATTTATTTAAAATAAATAAAGTTTTAAAAAAAGAAAAAAGAAAAACTCGGTCTCTAAATCAACCAATCAATTATCAGGGCTGCAGAAAAAAACTCGGTCTCTAAATAAATAAATAAATTCATCAGGGCTGCACAGAAAAACTCGGTCTCATAAATAAATAAATCGTCCAATTTTCAAGTATCTTTCATTTACTGCCCACACTGAAGAGATTGGTCTATTTCTGTTGTATTTTAAGTTAAGTTTTCCTTCTCCTGGCAAGCAATGCTAATTTCTCAAGTAGGATAACAATGTAAATTTCCCCTTTTAAATCGAGGAACATGCATCTGTCAGTACTTTAAATCTCTACTTTAATACTCGGCAAATATCAGGGTGTCGATCTTCCCGGCTGTTTCCTTGCTTTCTCTGGGCTTCCCCTGTATTTTGTTGGGACTCCCAGCTACTACAATCCCAAGCCACTGAGCTCTTGGTTTGCCAAAGACATTCATCAAAACCTGCACGATGAACCTACGAAGCTGAGACTATCATTGTGCAGAGGAAACTAGGGTTCCGAGAGGTAAAGACACAGTCCTAGTGCTGCACAGGGAGCTGAGATTCGAACCCTGCTAGCCCGGCCATCTCCCGCGCAGGAACCCATTATCAGCTCTAACAAGGATGGAAGAGCAACGAGGGGAGCTCTGAGAGCAGCCGTGGCGTGCACAAGCTGACGTCCCATTTAAGGGGTACTACAGTTTGCTTTGGGCCCCATTGTACAGAGGAGGAAACTGAGACTCGGAAAAAGAAATCACTTATCTGGTCGTACAGTGTGGCCCGTATTGGGACTCCAGACCATTGGTCACTCCGCATTTCTATCCCCAACCTCCTCCAACCCAGTCCAGCCACCCAGGGCCGCACCTCACCTGGCCCCGCGGGCCCGCACCCCCACGAGTCGCCTGCCCGCCCTCCCGGTCGCGCCAACTGTCACCCACTCCTCCCACCGCCTGGGCCGCCCGCCCCGGAAGTCCTGCCTTTGATACCGGATCTGGCTGGCCCGCCCACCTGGCCGCTCTAGCCCTCGTAGCCTCCAACCAGCGAGAGAGTGCGTCGATCGCCGTCACGTGAGGGCACGCAGTCTCCCAGGCTCCTCCTCCTCCCCAACTACAGCCAATCAGAAACGCTCAGGTCGGTCTCCGCCCCTCCCGCAGCCTAGCCGAGTGCGCCTGCGCACAGTTGGGCAAGAAGGCGGGGCTGGGTTCTGGAGTAGAAGCCGGGGAGTGCAGGTACTGTGCGAGCTGGGGTCGTGACACTTCTACTGCTGTCCCTATGTCACCCTCTCGTCTGTAATGCACCTCTCCTCTGTCGTCCTTAGGTGCCCCCATTCCTTCTCTTAAGTCGGACTCCATTTAAATCGTCACCACTGCCCCCACTTCTGTCGCCAGGACCTTCCTTACATCGCTCCCCCTTTGAAAAATATTTTATTTTTGTTTTTAATTATTTGTGTATCACAGATACACAACTGCAGTAGCCCGAAGAGATGAGAATATGTCAGATTCCCTGCATTTGCAGTTGCAAATGGTTGTGAGCCACCCGATCCGGGAGCTGACTTTCTAACACAGGCCCTCTGGAAGAGCAACAAGTGCTTTTAACTGCTGACCCATCTCCAGCACATCACCTTTTTACTCGTTTTTATTCCCCTTAAGCCCTAACTGGCCCTAAATGAACAGTTTTCTCTATTTATGTGACAGGGTCTCATTGTAACCCAAACTGACCTCAAATTCACCTGCATCTCCGACTGGCCTTGAATGTTTGATCCATTTGTTCAGCCTACTGAGTGCAGGAATGCAGGCATGCTGAGCCAATCTCTTTCTAACATCGTTTTAGTCACCCACACATTTCTCTTGTCATTTCTCCTCTATAAAATCCTCATTCACCCTAAATCTCTTCACATCAGTTATTCCCATCTTTCCTGGCTCCATCTCCCCTTAGATGACACTCACACCACCCTAGTGTCTCCATCTCTCCCCTGACAGCTGCCCTCTGTATCTCCTGACTCCAGCACTCCCCACAAGTAGCCACCCAGTTTTCTTCCTCCATGGGTACATGTTGTACAGACTTTTGCAGTGTGGTATTAAAGCCTAGGGTATGCCAGGATCCCAACTTTACCCCTAAACCTGTGCATAACCCTGGTCACCCAGTCAGGCCTCAACAATCCCTACTTTCTCGTCTGCGAAATGCACACAGTGGCCACACAGTGAGTCTGCAAACCCAGTGCTTAGGAGGCATGAAGGGTGGTAAGGGAGTAAGCTACCTGCTCACTAGGTGGGGATGAGGGCATCATTTAAGGCCCTGGGGCTACAGAAGTAGCAGGGACTTTGTTCTGGGGACGTGAGGGAGCCACAGAGCTTTTGAGCAGAAGTACAAATTATTTCAGATGGGTAGGGCATTGGAAGGTTGACGAAGAGTGGGGACCTGGGCAGGTGGCTGGAGTGAGGAGCCTAGTGGATAAGGCCAGGTCAAAGTAGGACCAGAGATCCTCAGGGGCCCAAGTAGACACACGGGGTCTGGGACAAGTCCCAGGACTGAAGAAGTGATGACACGCTGTTAAAAAAAAAAAAAAAACGGAAGAAAGGAAGGTAGGGAGAGAAGGAAGGGAAAGAAAAGGCCCAGAATTCCCAGTCCTCCTACTTCTACTTCCAAAGTGCTAGAATGGCAGCCATAAGTGATGACACCAAACTAAAATATATTTTCCCTCTGTTTTTTGAGGAAGGATCTCATATGGCCCAGGTTAGCCCCATCCTTCAACTCCTGATTCTCCTGCCTCTGCCTCCTAACTGCTGGGATGACAAGCACGTGCCATCTCAATCAACAGTGTCCTTGACACAGGAACCTAGACACTTTTAAGATCAGGAAGAAACATCCCAGGTTCAAGACCAGCCTTAATTACATAGTGAGATCCTGTCCCAAATTAAAAAGAAAAGACAAAAAGGAGCAGATTTGGGAGAGCTAGTGAGACGGCCTGGAGACATAGCAGGAGGGAGGTCTGTGGGAACAAAGGCTGTGAAACTTGCTGCTCTGGAGTTCAGGGACCTAGAGACCCGGTGACGAGAATGCAGACTCGGGAACCGGAGCTGCAGTAGTGGGTAGTGGTGCACAGAGTGCACACGGGTCCCTGTAGGACATGGTGAGAAGTTCTGTGCCTGAGGCGCTGGGTGTCATAGAAAGGTGCTTAGCAGGAGTGGGGCAGCTTACAGTTTTGAGCTCTGGTTCAGAGGCACTTACTGTCCGTGATGCTGTTCTAGAGCTATATAATTTGTTCTTCAGACCAAGCACACACACAATAAATAGACAAACAAATAAATAAATGTAATTTTAAAGTTACAAACAAACAAACATGCCTTTAATTCCAGTGCTCAGGAGGTGGAGGGATCTCTTTGAGTTTCCTGAACAATCTGATCTACATAGTGAAGTTCCAGGCCAGGCAGGGTCACCTAGTAAGACTTTGTCTCAAAAGACAAAAACCAAAAGAAATAAGGTGTGGTGGCACTCAGCAGAGGCAAGAGGATCAAAGGCCAGCCTGGTCTACACAATGAGTTCCTGGCCAGCCAGGGCTATATAGCAAGACTGGAGAGAGACAGAGAGAATGAGGATAAACCAGATCCAAGTGTAATCCCAACAGCCCAGAAAGTGAAAATGGATTTAGTGGTCTTAAGAAAGCACAAGGCTTGGGGGCTGGAGAGATGGCTCAGTGGTTAAGAGCATTGCCTGCTCTTCCAAAGGTCCTGAGTTCATTTCCCAGCAACCGCATGGTGGCACACAACCATCTGTAATGAGGTCTGGTGCCCTCTTCTGGCCTGCAGACATACACACAGACAGAATATCATATACATAATAAATAAATAAATATTAAAAAAAAGAAAACAAGGCTAAGCTGGGTGGTGGTGGTACATGTTTTTAGTCCCAGCATAGGCAGGTAGATATCTGTGAGTTCGAGGCCAGCCTGGCGTACAGAGCGAGTTCCAGGACAACTAGGGCTACACAGAGAAACAAAACAAACAAACAAACAAAAACAACAACAACAACAAAAAGCAAACAAAAGAATGATTGTACCTGGCATGATGGTAACACCTTGAATCCCAAAACTCTGGAGATAGAGGCAGGAGGATCTCTGTGAGTTCCAGGACAGCCAGTGCTCAATAGAGAGATCTTGTTTCAAATGAAAAAGGAAAAAAGAATGGATGTGAGGCTCATGGAAAGCTGTCTTCCCCAGGTTTCCTAGTTTTGAGCCAGAGCTTAGGGCTTGCCCATTTAATAGTCATACATCCCCAGATATAAGATGATGCCAGCTTTGTAAATCAGGCCAGCTGTGCTCAGAAAAGCCACTCAGCAAGAAAGTGGCCGGGATGGGATCTGAACCCTGAACTCTCCCATCCAAGGCATTGCCGATGGCAAGAGATGCAGAGCAAGTCTCCTGCTGCTACTCTCATCAGAAGGTGAATATCCAGGGAGCCGAGACCCAGCATCTATCTTAAAAGCCCAGCTGGGGCTGAAGAGATGATTCAGCCCTTCAGAACACTGACTGCTCTTCCAGAGACCACGGTTCAGTTCTCAGCATCCAAATGGCCTCTCACAACCATCTGTAACTCCAGTTCCAAGTAATCTGGTGGCCTCTTCTGGCCTCCTTGGGCATTAGGCACATATATGGTACACAGACACACATGCAGGCAAACACCCATATATATATAATAAGTAAATAATTAAAAAAAAAAAAACGGCCCGACCAGTTTTGCTTCCTCTTTGTCTGCAGATTATGGTGAGATGCTTGAACACAGACAGGACCAAGGCCAAGGAACGAGGGACTATTCTGTGGACAGGAAGAGGGTACATTTCCAGGCTGAGGTGCACCCCATATATAAAAGGAAACTGAGGGGCTGGAGAGATAGCTCAGAGGTTAAGAAGTTAAGAGCACTTCCAGAGATCCTGAGTTCAATTCCCAGCAACCATATGGTGGCTCACAAGCATCTATAATGAGATTTGGCTCCCTCTTCTGGTGTTCAGGTATACATACAGGCAGAACACTGTATACATAATAAATAATTAAACTTGAAAAAGAAAAAAGAAAACTGAGTAGGAGGATCAGTTGGGTTGATTGTACTGAGGCCGTGGGAACATCTGCATAAAGGTGGCATGGCCATGAAGGAATGCCAGCTTGGCTTCTGGCTGCCCTGAGTACCTCAGCCGTACTCTTTAAAACTCCCCTCCCCCAGTGGGAGTCTGACTCTTGCTCCAACTGAAGCCACTGGTCTCTGGAGGCTAGAGGTGGGGAGAAGGGACACCGCAACGAGGAACTGAGCCAAATTACACCTCATAATTTTTATAGAAATTATGAGCGTGTGGGCTGGCAGAATGGCCCGAGTTCAGCCCGCTGGTCAGACGGTCAGAAGAGAACTGACTCTTGCCGAGTGCCCTCTGACCTCCACATGAGTGTCATGACACACATAGAATAAGTGTAATAAAAAAAATAATTTTTAAAGAAATTAAAAATAGGCAAGCAGTGTTGACCACACCTTTAATCCCAGCATTGGGGAGACCAGAGCTAGTTCCAGGACAGCTCATGCTGTTACACAGAGAAACCCTGTCTCAAAAAAAAAAAAAAAGAAGAAGAAGAAGAAGAAGAAGAAGAAGAAGAAGAAGAAGAAGAAGAAGAAGAAGAAGAAGAAAGAAAGAGAAATTAAAAATAGTATTTAAAATAATTTAACAATTTATTGTTTCATACAGGGTCTGTATAGCCCATGCTGGTCTCAGATTTCAACAGTCCCTGCCTCAAACTAGAGACTGTTAGAATGCCAGGTGGATACCACCATGTCCTGCTATATTAATTTTATAAAAGGTTTATGCCAATTGGTGGTGGTGAACGCCTTTAATCCCAGAATTCAGGAGGCAAGGGCAGGGGAGTCTCTGTTAGTTCCAGGACACAGTCTGGTCTACGTGTGTGTGTGTATATGTGTGTG